ATACACTAGTAAGAAAAATTTCACCTTGCGACGTAGAAAGCAGCATTTTCGAGCATCAACAATTTGTTGGCACAAGCGATTGCAAGAGCGCCACCCGAGCCACCTTCACCGGTTACTATTGTGATAATCGGAACTTTTAGACCAAACATTGTCCTCAAATTGTACGCTATTGCTTCACCCTGCAACGATTAATTCTTAAACCACGGTCAAATGTTGTCACAAAAATTTAAAAATCCTAGTTAAGCGCCCGTTTAGTAATTAATCCACCTGTCCTAATTCCTCGGATTTTAGATCAGCAAATGCGCCAGGTGTGTCCACAAACGTAACGATTGGAAATCCGTGATGGTCCGCGTATTTCATCATTCGCAAAGCCTTTCTATAGCTGCAATTCAAGAAGATTTATCATGAACTCGAAAAAAAAAAATTAATAATAATAATAATAATAATAAATAACTTTTCGAGAAAGTTAGTTACCCGTGCGGAGTTGGCATTCCAAAATTGCGCATGATATTTTCTTTCGTGTTCCTTCCTTTTTGATGGCCTATGAACATGTAGCTTCGACCCTCGATACTCCCTATACCCGTTACAATTGCCGGATCATCGTAACCCGCTCGATCTCCGTGCAGTTCCACCCACTTAAAAAAAAACAAAAAAAATTAATAATCACTAAAATATTAAAACCCCATTATTTTTAGAAATTCTAAAATGTACCTTGTCAGTGATGTTTAATATATGATCAAGCACAGTAGGCCTGTTTGGATGTCGAGCGATGTTTAACCGTTGAATCGGCGTCAAATGTTTGTATAAATCCTTCAGAGCCTGAAATTGATTTTTTTTTAAATCAAGTTATTCAATTTAATGTGTGTACTTACGTAATTTTTTTAATCGAATTTTACCTGTTGATACTTGAGCTCCAAAGCATTAATTTGATCAGTGAAATCCAATCCAGTATCATCAGCCATATTCTGAACCTGCACACATAATAATAAATAAATAAATAAATAAATAAATAAATAAAATAGTATAAAAATTTACGGATTAAGACAGCGTAGTTTAAGGTTAATTTCTAGCTAAGTTAATAAACAAGTGACCTCGACGATTTTCTTTTCCAAATCAACGAGTGGCTTCTCGAAAGCGAGTGTGACAGGTTTAGGTTTGTCTTCGAGTGGCTTAAAGTAGGAGAGATAATTTAACGGTGTCTTGTTATTCGGATCAATATCATCCGGCCATGGATAATCGTGCTTCTTTCCCTTTTTAACTCCCGCGGAAACGCGGAAACTTCTTCTAGAACCTTCCGTATCCTTGAACCGGATAGTGGTTAAATTCCGCGACAGCTTTTTGTGAGAATCACTGCCCAGAAACTCGTTTGCGAAATTCGAATCGTCTCCCTTTCCTCTCCCACAGTTACCAGATACTAAAGATAGAGTAGTCATTTTTTATTAATCTTTAATAATTACCATTCAATGATACACTTCACATCTGCAGATAACAAAAGAAAATATTTAGTACTGTTAGTTCGGAGAACAATGCAAACGACTTTCGTGTAGCCCGTTTTTCTAAAAGGAACAACTATTTGCTTAAACTGGTTAAGTCATTTAGACCCCATAGTTTCATTCGCTGATAATGCAAGAAAGATATATGCACTATACAGTCGTAATTCTTGATTTTATTTTTTTCAAATTTTTTTTTTCGGAATTTCGACAGAAGAAAGAATCTGGCTTATACTTTCGTTTCGTATGAGCCAGATTCTCTAAAAGGGAACAAGCTATTAATTAAACTGATTTAGGCCCCATAATTTTATTCACTGCTAATGCAAGAAAGATATACACTATACCGCTCTGAATTCTTGATTTATTTTAAAAAAAAAATTGTCGGAATTTCGGCAAAAGAAATATTTAGTACTATTGACTTTCGTATAGCCCAGATTCTCTAAAAAGGGAACAAATATTAGTTAAACTTATCTACCATTGAGCTCTAAACTAGATTGCTAGTTTAAAGTATTGTTTTTTTAGTCTGAATTTTAACATCATAGTTGTTATAGAAAACAGAATTCAAAGAAACTCAACAAAACTGCCAGCTCAGCAAATAGACACATATTGTAAGAAATATTAATAACCTTATAAACATGGAGAAAGAAGAAAAACAAGAATCCAACAAACAAGTATAACAGAATTTGAAGGAAGTGTAAAGCACATTTACCTGAGTGAATCAAGAAATGCAAGATTTGGGTTCTTGTTTTTTTTTTCTCCCACCAAAATCCAAAGCAAAACTTGGGGTGGGGGGGGGGGGGGGGGGGTGAAGGGTAGTTGCAGAACCAA